GTGGCCGTGGCGCACGGGCTCTGCTCGGGCTCGCTCAACATCCTGCTCAAGTTCCTGCTCGCGCGCTACCACTTCGCCTTCCTGACGCTGCTGCAGTGCGCGAGCAGCGCGGCGGCGGCGCTGGCGCTCGAGGCGCTGCGGCGGCGCGGGCTGGCGGCGCTGCCGCCCTTCGGGCCCCGCCTGGCGCGCCCCTTCGCCGCCGTGGCCGCGCTCGCCACGCTGCAGTCCACGCTCACGCTGTGGTCGCTGCGCGGCCTCAGCCTCCCCATGTACGTGGTGTTCAAGCGCTGCCTGCCCCTCGTCACGCTGCTCACGGGCGCGCTGGTGCTGCGCGACGGCTTGCCCTCGCCCGGCGTGCTCGCCGCCGTGCTCATCACCACCTGCGGCGCCGCGCTGGCCGGTGAGTGAGCGTCCGCGCCGCCCGCAGCGGCGCCGCCGTGCGCCCCGACGGCACGGRACGGGACGGGACGGGACGGSACGGGACGGGCCGCCGCTGCCCGCAGCCTCCGCCGCTGCCGCCGCGCCCAGCGGGACGGGACGGGACGGGATGGGATGGGACGGGACGGGCAGCGCGGAGGCGCCGCGGGGCAGCGCTGAGCTCGAGCGGGATGCGCAGCCCAGGCAGGGAGCGGGGAGGCTCCCGCTGCAGCAAGTGCAGCCTCGCGGGGACAGGCGGGACCTCGCGGGGACAGCGCCGTGTTAGGGGCAGGTGCGACCTCCTGGGAGCCGCCGCAAGCCTGTGGGGGCAAGGGCGAGCCTAGACGGGTGCGTGGGGGTGTGTGCAAGCCGGGGGGGACAGGTGAGACCTTACGGGGGGTGTGTGTCATCTCACGGGGACAACCAGAGCCTTAAGGGGTGCGTGAAACGGGCCAGGGGCGGCTGGGACCCCTGGGGGCAGGTGCTGCCCGCGGGGCCTGGGCTCCATCCGCGCCCCGGAGGCGGGCAGGGGGAGGCAGCCCCGCAGGGGCAGGGAGCGSCGGGAGCGGGCGCGGGGCTGCGCAGCGGGAGAGAGCCCGGGTGTCGCTGCCCGCCCGGCGGCGGGAGCGGCGGGAGCAGCGGGCCGGACTGTCCGGAGCGAGCGGTCGCCCGCGGTGCCTGAGCAAGAGCAGGGCACGGGTTAATAGTGTGTGTGGGGGGCTAGCGGGAGAGCGAAAGGACTTCAACAGCAAAGCAAACAAAAAGTCTCTGCCAGGAGCTAAGTGTGTCCAGTGCTGCCTTTGGACAGGCGGACAAATCACAGGGACTATGGAAATCGCATTGAGACCTTTATTTATTTATGTATGTATTTATTTATTTATTTATGTAATGATTGTCCCAATCTTTCTGTCTCACAAGCAAATACTCTGCCCGTTTCTGTTCCTTGGCTCTCCTGGCAGGAGCTGGTGACCTGACTGGCGATGCCATGGGCTACGTGACGGGCGTGCTGGCCGTGCTGATACACGCAGCCTACCTGGTGCTCATTCAGAAAACCAGCGTGGAGAGTGAGTACGGACCCCTGACAGCTCAGTACGCCATCGCCGTGTCGGCCACCCCTTTCCTCATCATCTTCTCCTTTGCCAGCATGGACTCCATCAACGTGTGGTCCTTTCCAGGCTGGAAGGACCCAGCCATGGTGTGCATCTTTATTGCTTGTGTCCTCATTAGCTGTGCCATGAACTTTACCACCCTTCACTGTACTTACATCAACTCGGCCGTGACCACTAGCTTCGTAGGGGTGGTGAAGAGCATCGCCACCATCACGGTGGGCATGGTGGCCTTCAATGATGTGGAGCCCACAAAGTTATTTATAGCCGGCGTTGTGGTCAACACCTTGGGTTCAGTCATCTACTGCGTGGCCAAGTATGTTGAGACCAGGCGGAAGAGCAGCTATGAGGACCTGGAGAAAGAAGCTGGGGAAGAGCAGGAAAAGGGCCGGGCTGGGGAGCAAGTGCTGTTTGCCATGGAGGCGATTTCCAGGGCAGAGGGGGCTRAGGAAGCAGCGGCGGCGGCTGCAGCGAGTGGGGACAGTGAGCGCCGTGAGGAGGAGCAGGAGCAGAGCCCCGTGAAGCGCACGGAGGCGCCGGCCGCTGCCCATGGAGGAGCCGCTGGCACAGCAGGGACGAGCGGGAGCCGGCTGAAGGATGCCTATCTCGGCGTGTGGAGGTTGGTGCGGGGCGCCAAGTACGTAAAGAAGGACTATTTGATAGAAAACGAAGAGGTGCCGAGCCCGTAGCRAGCAGGGGTAAAGAGCCGCGGAACGCCCTGCTCGAGGGGCCGCGGCCGTGCGCGGCGGGAAGGCAGAGCAAACATTTCCCACATCAAGCCTGACGGGTCCAGGTCATTTAGGATAACTTTACCTCATCATGCAAAAAGGCAGGGTTCGCTCGTGCTGCGGGCTCGCGGTGACCTGCTCTTGGTAGGACACGCCGGGCTGCCACAGCTGMGGGTGCCGAGCCCCCCGCTGTGGCCACGGGGCCGCGTGGCCACGGGGCGCAGGCAGCTGGCCGCGCTGTGGCCGTGCCCGCTCCCGTCACGTCGGCGACTGTGACACAGCGCTGGCCTGCGCCTCTGCTCCCTGTGGAGCCGGGTGGGCTGRCAGCGCTCGGAGGCTCTGTGGGTGTTTCTGTGTGTGTCTCCGTGCACTTATAGGTGTTGTGTAGAAACGTGTTCCTGCGGTATATAAACCCCTGCGGACTGTACTTTTCTGTGCTCCTCTGTATCAGTATAATTGTAACAGGGCTAGAAGCTGTGCCACTTTAATCAGATTGGTGTAAAATCCCTCTCTTAACTGAAGACTCAGAATTTCCACAAGTTATGTGGCCAATCTGAGCCTTAGACCCAGTTCACGTTGAAGAGCTTTTGGTCTTCAGCAGAACTTCTTGTGKCTCATGGTAGTGTACCCAGGAGCAGAGTCACATCTGAGCCGCTGAGAAGCTTTGGTCAGCAAAGCAAGGGTGCTTTTCCATGAGTACATGTAGCATTGGGAATATTAACTTGACTCAAATAAAAGAGTTTGGAAATGCTGGAATTAATTTATTTGGTTTGAGGGGAGACTATTAAAAAAATAGGAAGTGAGTGCTTAGTGCTATCCCCCTCTTATAGCCCCAAACCAGCTGAGTCAGAGTCTGGATACAACCCTACGTCTCCTCTCCGTCTCTCCTTCACCTGAAGCACTTTGTTGGGCCCTGAGGGATAAAAAACTGCCTTTTGACCTCGCGTGTTGCAGCGCTCCTGTGGGAAGCGGGAAGCGCTTGTGTTTCCTCTAATTAACATGCTGATATTTTGTGTCAAGCACATTCAACAGGAAAGATGGAGAAAGCAAATGCTTGAGTGTTCCATAGTTTGGGATTAGGAGCGGGGAGGTGGGAGTCCTGGCATCCTGGGATTTGAGTCTGAGTATCCCTCATCCCAAGCATCCCAACCAGACCACAGACCAAACCAAATTGTTATCATTTCCTGAAAAACCTGTGTTTCAGTTGGTCTAGGTTATTGTTATTGCTCCTATTTATTAAGCCACTGAACTGAAAATCAATTATTCCCACAGCCCTAATTAAGCAGTGCCTACCCCAATGCCTTTTGAATCCAGCATTAGCCTCCGAGTGCATTCATCACTGCAATCAGCAGGACTGTGCACAGAAACAAGCAATTCACCCGGCAGGGAGGATCTGCAAACACTGGTGTCTAGGCAGGTTTTAGGTCCTCATTAAATTAAATGCAGACAGAAACATCAGGGTGCAATAGCGTWTTTTTTTTTTTTTTTTTTAAAGCTGAGTCCAGAAGTTGGATGACCTGGTATTACACATGGATTTTGCAGAAGAYGGTTAGAGAGACATTCTGACCAAATGCGTGTAGCTGCTGAGCTGTGGGGCCCTGGCAAGGGGATCTGTACATCGCGCTTAATGTATAGCTTGTGCTGAAGCACTGAGAGCTACTGGCCATGTGCTGAAACACAGTGTTTACCTTCTGTTCAAGCTCCACGGGGCATTTTTCAGTAATGTACTATTTGTTGCCTGTAGGCACATGCACCAGGATTCTTGTTGGCTTGTTAGTCAAATGCATCTTAGAGTAAGGAAGATTGTGTCTATGACCGATAGTYGCTGCCTTGCGGAGCTCGTTACAGTATTGAGCTGCACTGCAGTCCGTACAGGCGCCTGGGGAGAAACCTGCTCTCCTGGTCCATCTCTGTGCTCAGTGACTCRTTTCTACCAGGAATGCAGAGGTTTTCACTACCAGAGAGATAGTCTTGGAGATCTTGCAGAAAAAGTGCCTGTTTGGCACATGCTCTGGGAAGGTCCCCTCCTGGACTCCCATCACAGGACTTTTCCCTTTGGTGGAGTCTAATGTTTTGCTGCTCGTGGTAGAAGTACCAGTAGAAAAATATGGAAATTCTAACAGGGTTGAGTGCCACAAAAGCTGCTGTTTCAGTGTTGTACATTTGCATGTATAGTAAAAATGTGATCACGTTGTATTCTGTTTATATCTGTAAATCCCCTGAATTGAAAAAGGGATTTTGGCAAATGCAATCCACTTTTTTTTTTTTCAGTAAAAGAGGCTGACTCAAAATAAAATAACAATACTGCCTCGYGTTGAGGTGTTTTAATAACATCAGCAGAAGACTGCAGAATGAGATGTGGGAATAAAATGCACTGCTTTCCAAAAGCCGTTTGGTCTTCTTATTGTTGCTTCTCCGGGGTGCTCATTTTTGTCTCACTTGCAGTTATTCTTGTGCCTTCATAAACATCCAAGTTTCCTCCGCATGTGACAGCACCCCATAAATACTGTCACTAACAGAGGGACTGGGGGTAGCCAAAGGGACGCAAGAAATCTGTAAGCAGCTGTTGTTCTCAGCAGTGATTTCTTTGGCTACGTATTTGAGGGGATTTAGTGTCACTAGTGTAACTGCTGTAAATTAAAAATAAAAAAAAATTAAACAACATATTGCTCACTGTTAATAGCAAGATGATAAAATCATTGCATTATTAAAGAACTTAATATTGTTTTATTTTAGAAGTGTTATTTTTTACTTCCTCCTTTAGACCTTAAGTGTGTAGTGGGCTCACAGTGAGTAGTGCCCCATGCTGGGGCTGGTGATCATTACCAAGGTCTTCTTGCAGGGTGGCTTGCAGGAAAAAAAGAGCAGTCTYTGTTCCATAGTAATGAAAGGCTATGGTGTACAACGAGTGCTTTAGGAATAAATATTACATTCAGCATCACGGTATCATTGAGCAGCACCTGCTCTAACACCTCTGAGTAGCATGCATGCACACACAAACCAAGAGGAGGAAAGGCAGATGGTTATTAGCTTTCCTACAATAAAACCTTATCGGCAATATATTTATTTTCTAAATTAAATAAAAGAGAGATCAGAGGTATAGAGGCAGTGATAGCTAAAATTTATAAGCAAAAATTTGCAAGCATTACCAACAAACTGATCCTGAATTTACCATTACTGCCGGAAGGAGAACAAACAGCAACCTGAAAATAAACAAGCGAGAGGGAAAGAAATTCTCTAGTTTATTAAACTACACTCTACAGTCCTATATATTATCGAGGATTGTTTATTGCTGGTGCTTAATAGCCTGCGCTATTTGATTCTATCTGTTCACTGCAGGCAAAGGTTTCAGTGCGCAGAAAGGTGCTGGAGCTCCATCTCTCATCTCTGAATTAACCTTGGAGCGTTTTCCTGCCTGGAGCAGTGGAGGGTTAGCGCGGAGGCCGCTGTCCCGCTGCTCTCCCGGCCTCTCTCACATGGGGCTGGCTGTGTGGCTGCCGGCAGGTTCCTCGCGTGTCTCTGTGCGGCGCCTCCACGCACCGCGCAGGCCGCAGCCCGGCCGGCGGCCCCGCTCCCTGGTGCCTCGTGGCCTCCTCCTCCTTGTCCCTCGCTCTTCATCCTGAGGGCAAATGGTGTTTCCAGCAGGAATAGCTTGGCCGGACTGCAGGGACGCGCCACAGGACTTGCCACAGAGGCTTCTGCCACCTCATTTCCCCTTTTTTTCCCCTAGAAGGAGGGGCGGGGGAATGGGCCGGCAGGATTTGGTGAGTCCAGTTGCTCCCTGCTTCCTGCCTGCGTGTGCCCGGGCACCGGGATGGCTGTGGCCATGGGCCAGCGACCTGCAGGGGCCAGCGACCTGCAGGGGCCAGCGACCTGCAGAGCCCAGCGCGGCCCAGCCAGCCCCTAGGGGCTCTCGTGGGACTGGGCTCGGCGTGGGGGGAGGCAGGAGGGAGGTCCCGAACCTGCTGGCCTCGGCGCTGGACGGTCCCTCTCATGGAGGCCGCCGCAGGTCCTTGTTACACRTGCCAGGCCAACAGGAGGTTTCTCTTTTTCCTCAGTTAAAGCATGGCTAAGACTGGTTTTAACCTGACAAGGAGTCAGGTGAATAATGAGCTGGAGCTGGTCATGATAGTAATCCAGTCAGGTTTACAGTCTGCTGTAAATATTGACTCCCATCAATAAATAAATTTGGTTACAGGCCGCTGGCTATGCTGAGTATCACCAGCTTGAGTCTGGAATTGGCTTAATTCTTTGTGCAGATTTTCAGCCTTAGCATCTCTGTTATCTGTCATTACAGCCCGCGCAATTCCAAACGATAGAAGCTTGGTTTAAAGATAAAATATGGGTTTTCCCTGTGRTGGCTGCGGCACGAGCCCGCCGGGGAGCCGAGGACAAGCTGCTCCGAGTGTCACGGCGCCTCCGGGGTGGCTGAGCAGCCAGGGCAGGGGATGAGGTCCAACAACATATGTCATGACAATCAGCTCAATGCTTCCTTATGCCAGTCTTACAGAGGGAAAAACAAAGAAAGCAAGTAGTTCCTTAAGTGCAGTGCCCGACATTGCCCTGGGACGACTGTTTGCTGCTGCTGCTGCGTGTTGAGCACTAGAAGCTGACGCACGGACAACACAGATGGGAGCGCACAGGCAGAGGGTTCTGCCTCTGGGGGCTGCGGCATTTTGTAAAACAAAGTCCTGTCATGGTGGCAGGTACGGGGAGTAACTTAGGAACACGGGGGTATATTGGTCTGTATGAAAGTACTCTCCAAAAAAAAAAAAAAAAAAAAAAAAAGCATTATTTCTAAGCTTCCCATTTCAATGATGCCTAGAGGTAGAATTTTCAAAACTGCTCATCTGTCTTGTTTGACTAATAACACCTAAGCATCAGCAGCACAGTCTGGACTATCCTGGTTATGTCCTAGGATGCCTTACATGCCTCCTGGGTGCTCAGCTCTTTTCAAACAATTAATGTTGCAGTGACAAGGGCAAATGCTGATGAACCTGGCTCCATAGTGTGACACAAACCCTGATGTTTCTTTCTCCATTTGCAGGATCTMCTTAGCACCCTTAAAGCACACTTGCACACCTATAAATGTCCTTCCCGGAATCAGCTACTCTGGGTACTTGAAGGTGTCATTCCAGAGTGATACTAGACGATACCCAGCTGCTAAAAGGCTGTCGTGGTTGGACACTACATGTAACACATGAAGTTTGATCCCCTTCATGTTATCRTGCTCTGCCGTAAGACATGGAAGATGAGAATGGCAGCCAGTATTGGCTTTTCTATGGAGGATTTTCCGGGAGGATTGCTGGTGATTTGTTGTTCAGGCTTTTAGGCTTTCTTCATTGGTATCTGCCTTAGTGCCTCAAGACTGTCGTCTGGTCTGGACTGAATGTAGTCTTGACACTGTCCTTGTTTTTACTGACTTTCTGCAAACCTCACCTCTGCCAGCTCCTGCGTGAGGCTGATCAGGCAGGGCACAACGTGCTCCTGTGCCTGCCTGTGTCCTGGGATTGCACTGCAGGGAAATCAATGCTGCAGGCGAAAAGAATCAGATCCCTTGCCCCTGGGCAAAGACGAGGACAGGCTGCTCTGTGATGGAGCTTAATTACTGATTTATACTCACTGCAAACAGTGACAGTGGTAAAGTCCTTTAGAAGTAAGGAGCATATCCTCGGAAATGTGACATTTAAAGCATGGGTTGAGACTGGAAATGATTTGTCAGTAGATCTTCTGGCCCAGGCTTCTTCTATAAATGCAGGCTTTGCAAGTGGCTCGTAAGCAAACTATAAAGACTTCAAGCTGCTGCTGAATGCACATTCCTATATGGCACCATAGGGCAGAACCTGTAGCACCTTCTTTTGCTGCCAAATAAACCACGACTCTGAGAGATTCTCTTGATGGTGGTTTTGTCCTTCTCTACCGATTCGAAGAACAGACCTAACACTCCTTCCCCATCCCTTCCTGTGTAGCAAAAAAAACTACAGTGTATATTTAATCTGAGCCTTGAGCTAGCCCTTATTCAGTAAGACACGACCCTAAATACAACCACTTTACTGCATTAGGAGCSTAGTGCTGGCTTGCATTACACCACTATGGCCTGAAGAGTGTTCAAAGGCAATTTCGTGATGGCTTCTTTAGTGTCCTCAAGCAAAAGCTTGTAGTAGGGAAGCCAAAGCTCCCGAGACCTTAGCACAGTTTTCCAGAAAAGCAGTCAGTGCCACGAACCCCTCACTCGCCCACGCTGCTGCGGGAGGAGAGCGTGGGCGCGCGCGGAGGGCAGCTCCTGCCGCTACCCTCCCGCGTGCTGCGCCTGAGCGCTTAGCATCTCCCTCTGCCTGCTCGTGGGCTCGTCCTCTTCCCCAAGCCCCCGGGAACGGCCTGGCGCCCTTCGGCTCGCTGAGGCACCTCCCTGCTCCGGGTAATCCAGGTCAGCAAGGGCTGGCACGAGCAGTGGCACCACATGGAGGGATGGGAAC